GGCGAACTCCCGGTTAAGAAGAACAATGATATGTTGAAGAAGATGTGTATATGATCCTGTGAGAATAATGTCATCAACATATACAAGGAGGTAGGCCGTATGCTCTCCAGATCGAAATATGAACAAAGAAGGATCTGTACAGCTATGAGAGAAAATCCAAGTCTGGTAGCATGCTCAACAAATCAGTATTACCAAGCCCGTGGGGCATGTTTTAATCCATACAATAAACGTTTGAGAATGAAAAAGTGGTCTGGAAGCTGAGTATCTCTGAACCCGGGAGGCTGGTGCATGTAGATTGTCTCCTAGAGAGAGTCATGGATAAAAGCATTCGTCACATCAAGTTGATGAACAGGCCAATGGCTGGACACAGCTAGACTGAGAACCTAGCGAATGGTGGTCGGTTTGACAACCGGGCTAAATGTCTCATCATAATCAATATCGGGTTGTTGGTTGCGACTGTTGGCAACCAGGCGAACTTTGTACAGAGAAAGGGATCCATCATCATTCAATTTTTGTTTGAATAGCCACATAGACCAAACAATATTCACCCATTCAAGTTGCGGTACCAACTTCCAAGTGCCATTAGAAATAAGAGCATGATATTCCTCATTCATTTCTTTATGCCAGTGAGGGTCATGTAATGTCTGTAAGTAGGACTGTGGGATAGGGGACATAGAAGTGGTGTGGAGATTTAGATGGTTAATGGGCTTATGAATGCCATCTTTCCCACAAGTTGTCATGGGATGAGACCATGTGAGAAGAGGAAAATAAGTAGATTAGGTCGCAGGGGTTGGTGGGTGAGGCTGAGATGTGAAGGGAGGAGGCCGAGAATCGGTATCGACAAGAGTGGGGAACGATGCAAAAGTGGCCTCGGTTGGAGGTGGGTCAGCTGTTTCGGCTGTATGGTGAGTGCGGGAGGTGGATTTGGTAGGTATTGTGGCGTAAGGAGAGAGAGGAGATGAGGTGAAAGTTAGGATGTCGTGAAATATGGGGGAAGGCTCCAAGTTTTGATCAAGAAATTCTTAGGAGGGTGGTTCATTGGGTGAGACAGAACCATAGGGAAAGATTTTTTCTTCAAAGACGACATGTCGGGAAAGAATTATTTTATGAGTTAAGAGGTCATAACAACGTTATCCGCTATGCAATGATGGATAGCCAAGGAAAATGCAAGGTGTGGTTCGTGGTTGAAGCTTGTGAGAGGTAGTGAGATGAGGGTAGCAAAGGCTATCAAAAACATGTAAATTGGAGTACGATGGGTGTCACTTGTGAAGTCGGAAAAAAGGAGTGTCCTTTTGAATAGAAGATAAAGGAAGGATGTTGAGAAGGTAGGTTGCCATATGTAAAGATTCGACCCAAAATGATGGTGGAAGGTGAGCTTGAAAAAGAAGAGTTCTAATCATATTATTGATCGTTCGTAGCATTCTTTCGGATGTGCCATTTTTTTGGGAAGTGCAGGGACAAGAAAAGAGAAAAAGAATGCCATTATGAGCAAAATGATCATGAAAAATGTTGTTATATTCTCCATCATTGTCACATTGAAAGGTTTTAATGTTGGCGTTGAATTGGGTTTTAATGAGGTTTGAGAAGTGTAGGAATTTACTAAAAACTTCGTTTTTGTGTTTTAGAGGGTAAGCCCAAACATAGTGAGAGTGGTGATCTAAAAATATGTCATAGTAGTAAATAACACTAGATGTTGTTATGGGAGATGTCCAAATGTCGGAATGTATAATATCAAAAGCATTAGAAACAACGGAACTGGAATTGAAAAATGGTAAACGAACAAATTTTCCAAGTTTACGTGAATGACATGAAAAACTAGGATTGTCTTTATTACAAGCAATAAATTTATTGGAAACGAGAGACTTCAACACTTGGTCACTGGGGTGGCCCAATCATTGATTCCAAAGAGAAAAACTTGAAGCAACGAACACTTAAGGAGAGGATGATGTGACATCATCGAGAGGACCATCAATATCACATCGTATTAGGGGTTTTTTGCTCATGTAATCGTTAATAGTAAAACCAAAATCATTAAATTCGAACGAACATTTATTATGATGGGTAAATTTACGAACGAATATGAGATTTTTGATTATATTGGGAGTGATTAGGACATTATTTAAATGAAGATGATGAAAAGGGTTAGGAATAGGTAATGTGGTGTGTCCGGTCATACTTATAGGCATTTAGATCTATTTCCAACATAAATAAAACGGGTAACATATGTATGTGAAACGGATGTTAATATACCTCCATTAACATGCACATGATCTGTAGCACTCATATCCATGATCCACCTGTTATTACCCAGATCGCTCAACAGAAAAGTGCTAAACAGTTGCGGAAGAGTAGTAGGCTAATCACCAGAGTTCTGCCAAGTGGGTGATGGAGTGGATTGGGCTTAAGATGGGGAGACCGAATTGGGTGAGGCAACAACTAAATGGGCCTGTGTAGGGGCACTGAAGTAGCCTGTGACCGAAGTAAGTCGGTAGATGGGCTGTTGTGATGGTGGAGGTCCAAGAAGCCTAGCAGTAAGGCTAGGTGGCCCAGCCTAACATTCATTCTAAAATCATGTAGTGAAATTGAGACTGCTCGACTTCGGAAGCAAATTCGCGTGTAGGCAGCGCTGTCTGTCGTACCGTTGACTATATTTAGTCATTGAATTTGCTTGATTCCATTTTTTATATACGCTCCCTCCCTCTTTTTCTAAGAATTTATGCACTTCCCTTTACTCCATAGGGCCTTCTTTAATAGGTTCATAGTCCAAAGCCTTCTATTTCTGTCAAATGACCTGGCCTCCCCTGGCTCTTCCACCCTTCTTCTCCTTCTTGCATAATGTGAGCTCGGAGAAGGACGAGATAGGAGGGCCCTATGGAGAATGTGGTCAGAATTCCATAATAAAGTTGAGACCAAGTTGGTGCAACGGAAGAAAAAGGATCATGGGGTCGTTGTTGCTGCTGTTGACCATTGTTTGGGGGGGAATAGACCTAGTCGTGGTGAGGCTGCTGGTCCGACTGGTGGTGGAAAGGGTTCGACAAGCGGTGGTCAAAGCGGTACCCTTGCTGCCGATTTCCTCCATTGTTGTCGGTGTTATTTCCGGTGTGATTTCCATTGGTGTTTCTAGTGGTGTGCAAAACAATAGGCGATGGGAGAGCGGTGTTGGTGAGAGGCGACGGTAGGAGGCTGATCTTGTTGGAGTTGCAGTTCTTCGAGAGTGATAATATCTCTAACGTCCATGAAGGTGGGAAACGGGTGCCTATGTCGAATCATTATGGTTACGCTGTGAAATTTGGAGGGTAAGCCATTGACAACATACATCACTAAGTTCTTGTCATGGACCTTGGAGCCAAGGTTTTTGAGTTGGTCAGCCAGAGTTTTAATATTGGAGAAGTACTCTGAAGCCGACATGTTACCATGGTGATGGTACGTAATTCAACATCCAATCTCATTGCCCGAGATTCTTTTTTGGAATGGAAAATGTTCTCAAGTCGCACCCAGATCTCCCTTGCCGACTGTCCATCCTTCAACACCATATTCAGAACATTCTGAGACAAGCAACCATAGAGCCATAGTTGAATCATGGAGTTAATCTTTTCCCATTCAGATTCGGTGGATTTTGGGGGTGGAATCATCAATATGATCAATAAGATCAAAAGCTTTGCAGTGGGTATTGAACAGAGCACGCCGTACATCATAGTTGAACAACTCAAGATCGAGAACAAGAGGGATGTAGGTGTTGATGTTGGTTATGTCATATATCTTTTTTGGAGGAGGGGTAGAGTTGGAGTGCTCATCTGTCATGGTGAAGATCTATAATGAAGAAGAAGAGAGGCAGGGAAGGTAGGGTTTGTTTGGGGAAAGGAGAGGGATGCATGACTGTAGAGGGAAAGTCACGTAGGTACAGAAGGAAGGTTTGAGAAATTTAAGAAAGAGAGTTATGAGGGAAATCAAAGATTTAGAAAAGAAAAAGAGAGTGTATTACTGAGCTCTGATACCATGAAAATGTATCATTCTCATTATGAAAATAGAGAGTTGTACATGGATATAAATACACAAATAGAGGACCGAGAATACAAGAGCCCAACTAACACAATTATGAGCTATACAAGAGAGGATATACAAATAAAATAATAACATGTCCGCTAACATGTACAACCCGTGCATGTTCTTCGAGTTAATATTAGGGAAGATAAGGGATAATATAGTATTCTATTTTTATTATGTCCGGTCCATATAAATATGTCACATCATTACAAATATTTAAGTACAATGATACAGCTTTACAGATATTTTCCAACCTCTATGGTTTTGATAATATGATAAAATTTGTAAATTGTTTAAAGATAAGATGACGCCATCTACATTTAATTTTCACAAAATCGTACCAAAGATGATAAAAAAACATCATAGTTGAACAACTCAAGATCGAGAACAAGAGGGATGTAGGTTTTGATGTTGGTTATGTCATATATCTTGTTTGGAGGAGGGGTAGAATTAGAGTGCTCACCTGTCATGGTGAAGAGAGTTATGAAGAAGAAGAGAGGCAGCGACGGTAGGGTTTGTTTGGGGAAAGGAGAGGGATGCGTGACTGTAGAGGGAAAAGTCACGAAGGTACAGAAGGAAGGTTTGAGAAATTTAGGCAAGAGAGTTATGAGGGAAATCATAGATTTAGAAAAGAAAAAGAGAGTGTATTACTGAGCTCTGATACCATGAAAAATTATCATTCTCGTTATGAAAATAGAGAGTTGTACATGGATATAAGTACACAAATAAAGGGTCGAGAATACAAGATCCCAACTAACACAATTAAGGGCTATAAGGGCTAGTATAAATTTCCAGTAAGAGTTTACCCACTACTGTAGTATGCTAAAATGATCAAATAACATTAAATCATCCACTTTATACAATGCAAAGTAAACAAATAAACCGTATAGAATATTTAACTGCTAACACTTAAAGAGGAGATTTCTTTTCTTTAAATTTCTCTATTAAGTTATTTTGGGCATTAAGTAAATAAAGAAACACCCATATATACCTTATATATGGACTCTATCCACTTTAAGTTTACTAATTCAAAGAGTAGACATCACCTAACAAGAGGTAATATGATACCTGAACATTGCTTCTTATCGATTGTATTTGTACTTTCCTAGTACGTGGTCTATGCTTCGATTAATGTTGATGTACATGTTTTCATCACGAATTTGCCTCTTTCTTCAGCCTGGGAAAAGTTTTATTTAATTATTTCTATAGTTGTAGCCAGAGTACAGTGATCAGGAACCGTTTAGATATACGTACCCTTTAACTCGTTAATATTATTGTGCCCACAAAGGCATGTAAACTACTAAATAACTTGATCAAGAGTACAACATAAACAAATACGTGTATATAATAGTCTTGGACCCACAACCAGAACTCTCTCTGTTGAGCTAAATAACTCCTGTCATGGATTCCTTCCACCACCACCGCCCCTCCCCCTCCGTGGATCATGCCTGGGATTGGCTCCTGCATCGTCATAGTCTAACACCGCATCAAGTAATGAAAGCTTCCTTGCGTGTATCCTGAAGCCATTCTACAGAACAAAACTTATAACATCATTAGCGGATCCATGATAACATCTTCTTTTCATAATAACACTTTTTATGGTTTTAAAACTAAAAAACACTAAAACCGTTTATGTTGGCATCCATCTAGGTCTGCACAAACGTTGAGTACTCCTTTTAGAGGCACATGGGATTACTAGCTAGTGAAACTTCTTGCATATGTCAATACAGCTAGGTTATGGCGACCCCATTTATCATGCACAACAGAACATGGCGCAATAGGTTATACTGGGTTTGATTTGACTGGAAGTGATCAATTCATGTCAGTGGAACAAAATTGCAATTTTTTGTCCTATCCAAAAATTAGAACAAGGACAAAGACCCTATTTATTCCTCATCATCGAAAATAGTGTACTAAAAAACTTGTCTAGTCCAGTCCCGTTCTCATTCAATTGAGTCCAGTACAATCCAGTCTTGCCCCATGTAACCAGTGTAGCCAAACAATGGCTTCATGAAACTAATACCTTGTGGTGAGAATAGACTGGGTCTGCGCCACCAGCACTGCTGCCACCCACTATACATAGAATAAACGGCAAGAGTAGTTAATGATAACAGTTGATATATTGATATAAACACTACAAAAGCGAAGAATTTAGTAGGTAATGACCTGAGCATATGTAAATAAGCAATAGAAATGAAATCAGAAGAGTAGATTTGGTAGAAAGAGCCATGAATACTGGTTTCTGGTGCAAGATGGAGCAAAAAGAAGAAATGAGGAGCTGCTTATATTGTAACCCAATGAGGAAAAGATAGTGACTTTCATGAGATGATACCAACCCAATAGGCAATATAGGTAGAGAAGGATGATGATGAGTGCATGTAGCAATACAAAAGAGGCCACAAATGTGAAGTCAACTTCATTAATTTATGTTACATCAATGTAGAAGAACCAACAATACACTATACATAATGCATATGGACATCTTGATAATATCCCTTTGCATGGCTCTCATATTTTCCCTTTTCCAAGTCAAAACTCCTTTCTGCTCATGCCCATGGTCATGTAGGGAGACCCCACATTGAATATAGGCGTTTGTTGACAAATCAAATGATCAGTACTAGTACTTTACCGAAATATTTTCAAGTGATTATTGTAATCTGACCTAAAAAAAGATGAATATAAGTCTTTACTTTTGTCAATAACAACAGATAGACAATATATATAAGTTTATATATTGAAATTAAGGTTAACATTTTTTAAGTTTTTTTTTATTATTGTAATTTGTTGATCCCACCTATATATATAGAAAAATGATTTAAGTCGGTCTTCTAAAAAAATAGAAAATTGGTTATTCGTTTATACATCAATATCGGATTCAAATGTAGGTTTATTTTATGAGTCTCCCGCATTCAAGAATGGTGTGTGTCCGTGTGTGTATATGAGGGTATTCGTCAACAGTGTGAGAGTTGGAGGGTGTCCATTCTTTTAATTCTGAAATTGTTAGTGAATTTCTCTTTCATGGAGTAGGCTTAATTAAGGTGCCAAACCACACATTATGGAAGTGTCGTTTTAATTCTTTATTTGGTTATTGTTGTGCTGATTTCAACTAAGGTATCTGATTCTAACGGTAATGCACATCAATTTTTGACTTGTGGCCCTTTTAATTTTGTGTTTTGATGGTGAGAGGGAAGTTGTCTTTTGTGTGAGTGTTGCTTACTGTTTAGTAGCTATATATTGCATCATCTAACTGTTTTGTATGCCACAAAAAAACAAGTGTTTTTCTTTTCTTTTCTGTGTTTTCTTGATCATTGTGATCCCACCATGACCATGCATGATAAAGCGACCAGAACGAAAACAAAAACACTGTATGTATAAGACATGTTATCAGAGAAATTCGCAATATTGTTTTATGATCGATCTTCATAGTTGTAAACTTATATGTCAATTGCTCAATCTCCTTCGCATCATATATAGATTAAGAGGAATTTGATATTACTATCATATAGTAACTTTAGCAAATTTGAAATTTACTCATCTAATGAGAGAATTTGTTACTGAAATTGTAAAAGAAATATTGATGAAATCGATTTTTTGTTCTATAAAAAATATAATTTTGTATCTTTGGTAATTGATGGAGAAAAGAGCAAGTAGTGGACGCAGTAGCACTAGGGAAAAGGCTGACAGCACAACACAAGCACTTCTCTTTCAATATAATGAAAATTAAACCCTAATTTTACTAAATTAATGTTAATCCTATTTAATCTCCCAAAAGGGAGACGACTGTTTGACAAAAGTTATCAATGGGAAAAAATTGATTTTTAAGTTTAGGTTTAAATTAAATATTGATTATGTTTATATGCTTTTTCTTATACTTTTCTATATGTACGTCGTATAAAACTTGATCCGAATACATGTAATGTAAAAGTGAATGGCATCATTTTTGTCCTTTTTTTACGTGTCATATCAACACCGTCTTATCATTACCATATTTTTTTTTCTATTTCTTTGTCACCCATGGTTTGTCATGATTGATAAAATCTAATATTTTCATTAATTTAAAATAAAATTATATAACATAATATTTAAAGCTAACAGACATAACAATAAAAATAAGAAAGATAAAAGACCATGTGTTATATATTTTTTCTTGATTTCGACAAAGTCAATACGTCCTCCTCCCCGGTAGAAATTACTTACATCTTGCATAAAACGTGTCATGTCATGAGCTTTTTCATTCCTACGTTCATTTTATTGTGCGAACTCCAAGTATTTGTTCAAATTTATATTTAGGTTCGTGATCTCTAACATCATTTCTTGTAGCATATCAAAACGATTTGCCTCTGAAGTTGACGATTCACCTTTGCGTTTTTGTTTGGCTTTGTCCCTTCCCATTGGGCAGGTATGTGGAATCTCAAATGTGTCATCATCGTTGAGGTCGATCTCAATGCGAGCATCCGACGACATAGTGTAGACGGAGTCGGATGGTTTTGATCTTTTAGAATCACCCAATTGTGATTCGCCCTTTCATAAATCACTCCATCTTGGGCTATCATTGACAACATTCTAAAACTCCAAATGTTTGAAGGATTTCAACCAGAAAACTTCGAGCGCCTTTTTTAAAATGGTGGCATCACTTTGACCACTTTGCAATTGGTTTCCAAGCCTCAGCAAACCATTAATATTGATATCTCTCTATTTGTATTCCCTCATTTGATGTAGATTTGGTCTTTTTCGGTACTTTCATTTTTTCATTTCAATGAGGAAACATACAAGAACTCGATTCTAAAAAGTTGGGCCTTTCTAATTATTGTTGACCTTCAGGTCCTCTAAAATATCGACCGATGATTGGGCACATACCTTCTCTTCTTTCGGATCCCAAGATCTATTGGTGGCCTTCCTTTGTAGGGACGGCTTGTGTTTCAGGTTGGGATTTGGATTCAGGTTTGGGTTAGCTTTCTAGAACATATTTGATGGGGACGACTCTGGTTTGCATTGGAGATTTACCATAATATGGCTCCATATCGCCTTAATGGAATATGGGTGGTGAAAAAACAAGCCGGTCCATTCATATGCGGTAAAGAGATGAAGGGTATGGGTTTTTTTGTAGTTGGTGTCTTTTGGTTGTTTTGAGAGTTTGAAGAAGACATTCTTAGGTATAGAAAGGTTGAATAGAGAGTATAATGTAAATTGGATAATGTGTGGTGCATATATATATATATATATATATATATATATATATATATATATATATATATAGATATATATATAATATATATATATATATATATATATAATATATATATATATATATATATATATATATATAATATATATAGATGTGTGTGTGTGTGTGTGTGTGTGAAAAAAATTATTTTTTCAAATTAAAGTCGGTCAAATTGAGTAACGTGGTGGTCGTTTTCTGGGTTTGAAGAAGAGAGAGAATTGGGAGGGATTTCCAAGGTCGGCATAATTCTTAGCATGTCGAGCACCTGGCATGGTGTTTGTTGTGTAACATTAGCAATGTTGAGTTTTTTTTCCACTCCCACTCCTTTTAGCCTAAGTGGAAAATCAAACCCGGGTCATAGTGTATCAATTGGTATGGTTCTTTGTTCTAGTCTTTTCTCTAAACCAATTGGTTTTTTTCGGTTTGAGTTTCATTGAAAAAAATCAATTAGTGATTTGGTGCAATTTCTAAATTTTCAAGATTAACAATGTTGCAATAGATATGTATTTTTAATTATTACCGGTCTCTTTTTGTATTGGACTTTTGTTTACAAATTTAGCTAGGTTAACCCTATATAGCTTTCCTATTTATAATCTTATTTACTTTTCTTTGTAATTTAGTTTTTTTCCAATAATAAAACTCTACTCATTTTTTATCTATTGTTATCAATTATCATGATAACATAGCTATATTCCATCAATGTTTAGTGATTTGATGATTGTAGAAGACTTTGAAGCATATACTAGTTTTACGGATCGAATGGGTAATGTTTGTTTTCATTGGGTATGTATTTCGCTTTTGTTGGTATTTGATTGTGTAATGTACCGATTTTCATAGCAAATTTTTCATTTTTATTTATTCATTTAAATCAGAGTATAATTACATTATGCGGAAAACATGATGCAATTGTGCGTGTGTACGCCTTGCCCTTTTCACGATCAGAAGAAGTACATGAAAACATACATGGACATATATTGTAGTACATAATATAGTGAGATAACCTACCTGATTGAGGTGGAAGATCCTCATGAAGCTAGCTCTTAGGGTAATGCTTCAGCTTATTCCTTTTAAACAACCTAAGTACTAAGATCATTGTGCCTCAGTATTCGTTTGTATTTATCCTATTTCCTGGATTCCTCAACAATCTCGATGAATACATTGAGATCTTTCAAATAAGGAACAACCATGTAATATCATATCAGAGGAAGGTTCTGTTTGGTATATAGAGTATATTGTTTGGAAATCCCACTTTAAACACCTTACTAAATCTAGCCTAGACATCATTCTCGTAAGTAGACCAATCAGTATTATGACTGGAATCACTAATAAATCTTATTTATACATTCATAATAACGACTATGAATATAAATATAAGTTACACTAAAAGCGTAGTAAGTGCAGCTTAACTTACATAAATTTCGAGCGAAAATCGAAATATGCGCGGGCAGAATCTCGACCCGAAAGCTCCTTTTTTTGGGTTCCTGGATACCTTGGAGCCTCGCTAAAGTACTCCAAAAACTTAGGGAAATTGGACTCAAAGGGGGGAGAGGTAAGAGAAAAAGGAGATGGAAGATGTGAGCAAAAGAGCTGAATTTCGGCTGCTATTTACATGGAAATACATGGGGGGGCGCCATCTAATGACGCACGCCGCATCTTCAGTTGATATGTCCAGTCTTGATTGGTGCCACGTGTCAACGTTTCACTGGTCCACGTCACTTGGTTGATTCCGCCTCCGGCCAAGCCACGTGTCATCATATCGTGGTGTACCGTCGACGTGTCGGTTGGAAGACCCGGCTCTCACTCGGCCACGTGGCGCACTCCGATGCTACCACATCATCATAAGCAAGTATTTTCTGAAATCTTCTAAAGGCTATAACCTTCGCATACGAGCTCCTTTTTCAACGTTCTTTATATCCACGTGTAAGTAATTCTGAGTACTACAACTTTTATTTATACCTCAACAACTAATTCTAACTCTATTTTAAATTTATATTTTTATAGAGATTAGACTGTTAAATTCCATGCGAAAATCATAACTCATTCATACGAAATCCATTCTCGATTGTCTCTATATTGGGGGATTCATATTTACGAGATCTTCAACTCTCATTTACATTGTTTTGGCTAATAATCAACCGATCTAAATTTTGATTTTTGTA